CTTTTTTTGGGGGGGGGGGAAATTGGGTTTTCTCAAGTGGAGGAGAGGCCCAAATTGGCTGCAGGAGTGAACATTTTTATTTGGTACATACATATATATGTCTCTCAAATCACTGCAATTCTCATAATTATAGTATGTGGAGACCCTGTCCCAGTCTTGGGTTGTAAAACTTACAGTTAATTGATTTCATTCCCTTCCAATATCAGAAACACATCATCGCCAGAACAGGTGGGAGAAGAATGTGAACTTTTGAAGTTCAATTTTACTGCTTCCCCTATATAGAGAAATATGTATGCTATATAGTCCTCTAGGTGCTGTATCTTTATTCAGAAACCATACAGCAGCTCTTACTATCAATCAGAGGATGATTATTTTCTATCTTAGGAAGCCATGTTATTTATGATCATTGGAAGGAACCGTAATATGTTGTACAGATGGGAGAAGTATCAAAGGCTGGCAATGTGTTGTTAGTCTTCCATGGCAAGAACATTTACAAGTTAATATAATATTTAAATGGGAAAAAATAATGGGGAAAATCCAGCTTCATAATAGGGAAGCACTTTAAAGTTCTGTTGGCTTAAAGGGGAGAAATGGAAACACATGCCTGCCTAAAATAGAGGGACCTTCCGTATGGACTACATACTAGCCGGGTATTTAGTGTGGTCCATTATATAAGGAAAACAGGGTTCTATCATTTTCTTGTTATATTCATTAATGGGCTGCTGTTTTTATATTAATCGGTTTTGTTGCTGATGTGACATTTTATGGCACAATCCTCTAATGTTTGAGGCTTCCTCCCAGGTGTGCATAGCAGTCTGGCCTTCATTTCTGATGCGATGGTTTGATTGGTCCATGATTCTGACTTCTTAAGCTTGTGCATACCACTGTGCTATTTCAAGTGAGGCTGCTGCTTTCCATTTCTGTACCATGATCAGTTGGCAGCTGTCAGCAAAAGGATAGCTAGCATGCTTAAGGCAGCATGTTTGCTGTCTCTCTCCTAGCACTTCGGCACAATTAGTTTGGGACTCCACACTTATCCACCAGCCAACTTTATTCAGTACTGCGTTCTGTAATTATTTAAGAACCCTAATATTCAAATAGGGAAATGCTATGCTGTTTGTAGCAGGAATGTTTGCCTTGTTGTGACACAAGCCATGTAGCAAATAATAGCACATGATTTGTTTTGTGTTTAGCTGAGTTCAGACTTCCTTTGTTGTTGTGAGCTTTCAAGCTGTTTCTGACTTATGGGAACTCATCCTGTTTCTGACTTATGGCAACTATCATGGAGTTTTCTTGGCAAGATGTATTCACAGAGAGTTTGCCTTTGCTTTCCTCTGAGGTTGATAGAGTGTGACTTGCCCAAGGTAACCCAATGGGTTTCCATGGCTGAGCAGGGATCTGAACCCCAGTGTTCAGAGTCATAGTCCAGTGCTCAAACCACTACACCAGACTGGCTCTCTATTCATTATTAGATCATTTTAATGCTTGTGTAAGTACTTACTGTACTTCTATATGTGTGCAATTACTATACCATTTGTTTTCACCGGAACGGTCAAGAGCTACAGTGGATCACAACCAACAGGCCTAAGATAGATTGCAATTAGCTACATGATCACCATTTTAAAATAGATCATTAAGAAAGAGAGAAAAGCAGACAGACAGAGAGAAGGGGAAAGACAGAAAGGCCCTAAAACAGGGGTAGGCAACCTTTTTGAGCCAGGGGCCAGGTTGCTGTCCCTCAGACAATTGGGGGGCCAAAGCACCATAAATAAATAAATAAATAAATAATTTTTTAAAAAAAATATATGCATGCATACTCTCTCAGCCCCAGAAAAGCCATGGCAAAACCCCTGTGGAGATTTTGCCAAGAAAACCCCAAGAACAAGTAATAAAAACGATAATCAATATCATCATGGCAGGGGCGGCAGCAGCGGTGGTGGCAGGACCGTCCTGGGGCCAGTCCAAAGGCCTCGGGGGGCCGCATCCAGCACCCCAGCCTTAGGTTGCCTACCCCTGCCCTAAAACATATTGCCAAGTTGGAATTGAAGGAGAGTCTGGCAATCCGAATACATCTAAAATAAGTTTTTAATAAGTTCTAAGTATCAGTTACAGTGGATAGTTGGATTAAGTTATGTTCTGTTCATTTCTGTTTTTACATTTCCTGTCAGTCTTCCCTCATGGAGCTCAAGCTGACATGCATAGGGTTCTTCCCTGAGGTTTATGAAACCCCAGCCTAACTAGCAAGGATGCTGTTTCATTTGCCTTCAGACCATACCATAGGACCAAATGTCCTCTCTCAGTAATACAAGACAGAATGCACAGTGTGAAATGCAATGGGATTAGGCCTGCTAAATAACAACCTGGAGAACATACATTTTTAAACAGTTTGCAGTAGCAAAGGATGATGTAGCAACAGTATCTGCTAATTTGCTTCTCCTCTGTCTCCATTGCACACCACCTTCCCCCAGTACTATTGAGCAAGTGAAGAGTCTCCTTGCTTGCCAAAGCAGCCACAGACAGAAGGAGATGGGGAATGAATAACAGGGAATGGGGATGAAATGCATGTGGCGTCTTTTCTTTATGCACAAGAACATTAAGGGGATGTTCTCATTGTAATATGGCCCTATGGTTGTTCACTCACTCCTTAAAAATGTGGGCCTAGGGTGGTGTAGTGGTTTGAGTGCTGAACTACAACTCTAGGGACTAGGGTTCGATTCCCAGCTTGGCCATGAAACCCACTGGGTGACCTTGGGCAAGTCACACTCTCAGCCTCAGGGAAAGGCAATGGCAACCCTCCTCTGAACAAATCTGCCAGGAAAAACCCATGATAGGTTCATTTTATGGTTGCCATAAGTCAGAAATGACTTGAAGGAATACAACAACAAGAATCTCTTCAGAGAGCTAGTATAGCATAATGGCTTGAGTGATGGGCTAGGACTTAGGAAACCAGGGTTTAAATCCACACTTAGCCATGGAAACTTAAGGGGTAACTTCAGGCAAGTCAAACTATCTGAGCCCAAGAAGAAGGTGATGACAAATTCCCCCAAACAAATCTCATAAAGAGACCCTTCCTTTAAGCACATCTCACAAAGAAACCCTGAGATAGCTTCACCTTAGTGTTGTTGCTGTAAGTTGGAAATCACTTGAAAGTACGGTATACAACAACAACAAGTATCTTTGGTTTTGATAGAATCCATATGATCGAGAGAACCTAGATCCAAAACACAATGCAGAAATGATCCAGTTTGAGACTGCCTTAACTGCCCTGGCTCATTGCTAAGGAATCCTGAGAATTGTAGTTTATTGTGGGACCAGAGCTATCCAGCCAAAGTTTGCTGAATTTAGGTTCTACTTAAAGGTAAAGGTAAAGGTAAAAAAAGGTAAAGGTAAAGGTAAAGGTAGTCCCTTGACAAGAATGTTTAGTTGTAACCGACTTTAGGGGGTAGTGCTCATCTACATTACTAAGCCAAAGAGCCAGCATTGTCCAAACACAATTCCGGTGGTCATGTGCCCATATGGCTGCACTGAACACTGTTACCTTCCCACCAAAGTGGTACCTATCTATCTACTTGTATTTCCATGCTTTCGAACTGCTAAGTTGGCAGAAGCTGGGATGAGTGATGGGAGCTCACCCCATCATGCAGCACTTGGGCCTCGAACAGCCAACCTTCCGATCTTCCAATCATCAGAATTGGTGTCTTAAGCAACCACATCCCACAGATCCTATTTAGGCAACTGCAAATTTCAGGGGAAGCCCCATTGTCCATTCTATGGCCCCAGTATTTCTGTTCAACATTGAAACAGTCAGGCTCATGCTCACCCCACTAAATGATCTCCCTTCTACAATACAGTGGACCTCATTGCTGATGTATACTGAAAATGTAACATTTCACCTTTGCTTCCTCCAAGCCATGAAGGGTTTGGAATTCTTTCATATGTTGTATTACTGTGTTTTCACTGGGCTGTTTCATCATTGCATGGTGGTGGTGTGAACTGATTCAAATTTTGTGTGAATGAACATAGTACAGAGGGCCTTGATATCTGCTGGGGTTTGGTTCCAGGACCCGCTGTGGATACCAAAATCCATGGATGCTCAGGTCCCATTAAATATAATGGGTTAGGAAAATGGTGTCCCTTATATAAAAGGACAAAATCAAGATTTGCTTTTTGGAATTTATATTTGTTTTGAATATTTTAAAGCAGTGGGTGGTTGAATCTGTGGATAAAGAATCCATGGATAAAGAGGACTGACCATATAGAAACATTATTCATGGTGGAGACAGTGATGACATTGATTTCAGTGGGAATTAATTGCAGTTTGTCTGCTCTTTTCCAGTTTTCCAGAGACTCAGCAGGGGCTCATCCTTGCCATCTGTTACCTGTGGCTGGGGTCTGAACTTGTGACCAACTGTATGCAAACCATGAACAATAGGCCCTTCTTAATTATGCATATTATCTAACCATAGTGAAATATGACACCATTCTTTAGTTACTAAATCCAATAGTATTGATAAGTCACATTGCTTTCCATATAGCTGGGAATGAACGATTTTTCCAAATTGCAGGGGGGAATACCATAGTTTGGTGAAACATGAAAGCTTGGCAACTGGTCCAACATTAGTTATTAGTTATATATTCTGCACTTCTTATTTTATACAAATATAATCTAAAAGTTTTTTTTAAGGCTAAGAGAAAGCTAAAAGCAAATAGATTAGGTTCTAGTTTTGTGCCTAGAAAGGGGAGTAATGATATTTCCATTCTCCAGAGCTGTTCCCAGAATTTCAAACCTTGATTAAAATTCTGTCTTGTAAAATTTTGATAAATACTGTGTAGGAAAAGCATCCACTGCTTGGAGTCTCTGCAAATCCCATATTTCTGGGAAAAGGAGATCTGTTCCTTCACCAGGCACAAATGCTTCTTTTGTCCAATATGCAAACTCGCTCTGTTCCAACCTGTCGACCTGTTTTAAGAACAAGCCTATGAAGCTTAGGGGAGAAATGCACATACTCACTAGCAGACATGTGGCATTTTGTATTTCTTTGGGGCTATGTTGGAATAATGCTTTTAAAATGACTTGGAGCTAGTAAAGATAGTTGCACACCCAATGCTATATTTCTATTAGTCACTTTACTAATCAGATTAAGCAGTATGTTAATGTTATTTTTCCACGGTAAACTTTTTCAAATAAAATGTATTGATAGAAAGGCTGCTCTGAAGCTCTGAGTCCATCTTTGTGAATACTGTCCTCATTGTCAAACAATTTATTATAATATCTATCATTGTTATAAAAGTTGTTTCTGACTTATGGAGAACCTAATATGGGTTTTTCTTGGCAATATTTGTTCAAAAAAAGTTTGCCGTTGCCTTCTCCTAAGGCTGAAAGCATGTGACTTGCCCAAGGCCATCCATTGTGTTTCATATTTATTACCATACTGTAATATTATTGAGAGCCAGTGTGGTGTAATGGTTTGAACTATACTCTGACAACCAGAGTTTGAATCCCAGTTTGTCCATGGAAACTCAATGGGTGACCTTGGGTAAGTCACATACTCTCAGCCTCAGAAAACCCCACAAAAGAGTAACAGTAAGTTTTTTTAAAAACTGCAGTTTCCAAAATTCCCTAGCATTGTGCCAGGGCAGTTAAAGCAGTCTCAAACTGGATTATTTTTGCAGCATGTTTTGGACCATTGTTGAAGGGAACTCAAGCAAAGAGGGCCTTCTCTGTCATGCCACTTTTATTTTGGCAGGCTTTATTTATTTATTTATTTATTGCTCTTATATCCTACCTTTCTCCCCTAACAGTTTTTTAAAAAGACATTGATTATAAAAGAGAATTAATATATCAGTATGATTAAAAAGTTATGCATGGTTTTATAAGTTATAAACTCTTAAAACATATTTACAACATAGTTTCATTAAAAGGTTAAATATTTAAAAATTACAGCATACTACATTACACACAAACACTAAAGGCAAAGGTATTCCCCATTGACAAGGTTGTCAAGTTGTGTCTGACCGTAGCAGGTGGTGCTCATCTCCATTACTAAGCCAAAGAGCCAGCGTTGTCAGAGACTACTCTGTGATCATGTGGCCAGCATGACTGCATCGAATGCTGTTACCTTCCCACCGAAGTGGTACATATCTATCTACTTGCATTTGCATGCTTTCCAACTGCTAGGTTGGCAGAAGCTGGGACTAGTGGCAGGAGCTCACCCATCATGCAGCACCCAGGTCTCAAACTGCCAACCATTGCATCCCTTAACCACTTGAGCCACACACACTACAACTCCATAATTAAAATTAAGAAGGTCTGACTAAGGGCCTCGGCAGACAGCTTAAAAAGCCATCCTCGAGGCAGGGAAGAGGAGGGGCAGCCGCATGCTTGGCACCCCTTCCTCCTCCCAAGATTGCCTCCGAGGGCAACCTCCCGCCGCAGCGTCCGCACACACTGCAGCAGATAAGTCGGTGAAAGTGCGCTGCTACGTTTTGGGGCGCACTTTCGCTGACTTGTGAAAGGAGCGCTATTTTAGCGCTCCTTTCAGGGGTGGCGAAGGTGCACCGCAGGATCGAGGCGTGGGGATGCCTCGGTCTTGCGGCACACTTTCCCAGGGTGGCCCCGTGCCGCTAGTCTGCTTCCCCCCTATGTAAGAATGTCTTCACCAGCCAGAGGAAAGACAGTAGGGAGGGAGCCAACCAGACATGCTGTGGAATAGAGCTCCACTGCCTGGGAGCAGCTGGGGAGAAAACTCTCACGAGTCCTCACCAAGCATGCCTTGCAAGGATGGTGGGACTGTGAGAAAGCCCTCCCTTGAAGATCTTAACGCACACCCTGGCTTATGGTTTGGCTAACTCCTAAATGCTTAAGTATTGTGCTGCTGATTAACTATTGGATTATTAGTTTGCTTTGTTGCTGTAAGCTCCTTAAATGATTGTCCTTAAATTATGTTCTTGTTACTGACCACCTTGGACATATTCAAAGGTGGAGCTAGGCCAGTATGGAGAGGGCCAATCTCTGGGCCACCAGACAATCAGGGATGCTTCCAGAAGTGTAGCTATTGGAGAATTATGAGAACATCACTCCCCCAAAGAAGAATTCTGTCCCCCTAGAAATTTTCCTGCAGTTCCCCAAGTTTCAGCATCACAGGGAGTGAGACACTAAAAATGGTTCACACCTGGAAGTCATATTTTGCTATGTTTGCGTTCCCTTGGCAACTTTCCCTGCCTATTTTCTGTGGAGGTCTACACTGTACTTCTAACTGCTCAACTTAAAATGAAGTTTTAAGCAACTATAATAATAGAAATATGGGGACTGAACAAAAATGTAATTTGGCGGGCAAGTTCTTATTGAGGGGAAATGTCCTCACCCCCTGTAGCTACGTCTGTGATTCAGGCCCCCTGCCTCATCCCCACCCTTGTCCCTGTCATGGAAGGAGGAAGAAGGAAGACTGAAGAAAACAATGGAGGTGGCTGTGTCCCTTTTTCTAGTAGTGAGGAGCCTGTATGTGAGTAGTGAGGTTCAATTGCACTGTCAAGGCAGGAATGATGGAACAAATGATGGAATGTAAAAAGGGGGAAATGCAGAGGCTCACCATCTTCTGAACAGGAGGAACGTTTCAGCTAAAGTCAGCTGAATTCTGATCAGAATTTGAAATTACCTAAACAAATTAGAAAGCTGGGTCAAAACTAACAAAATGAATTTCAGCAGAGAGAAATATAAGGCACTATATTT